CAAGTACCTGTAGTAGTTTTAGACCCCAGTGATCATTCCAAGCCATAATCAGCAGGGAGGGAAATTAACCAAGAATGTCTACTAGCCTGGATAGTGATAACGTATAGCAATACCCCAAAAATTGTTTGAAATTCTACTAGAGCTTAGGATACCAAAACATTGACAAAAATTATCTCGCCTAGTGCTTATTTCCATGCTTGAATCAGCTTCCCACGACCCTTTGTGGGTGTAAGAGTTTACTAATAAGGATTGGCCAGTTAGTTTGTGACCTTGTCATACTCCAATGGCGTGATTGTTGATCATATTACCTGTTTGATATAGCTAAAATATTGCTGACTTGCATAAAACAACATTCACTCATTTATTGATATGTTTCAAATGTATGAATTAAACAGAACTAATACATGATGACGTTCATAGGACCGAGGCGCCACTTCACCATATGATGCTAAGCATCTGATTAGTCAGATCTTCCCCAGTGAGGGGGGTCCTTACAATAATGCCAATGTTGCCCCATGTTAACAGTAAATATGTCCCCAGTAGGAACTGCTACAGTTGTAAACCGTATGGAGACGGTTAAGCTGGCCGGTGTAGACACATGCTTGACATTGTTGATAATGCAAACAGCCTCTCAAACACTGAGTTTGCTGGCGACCCATATGGGGCCGGACCAGGATTTATTGTGTAGTGGTGGTTGTGGACAGACACACTGACCAAACATGTCTGTTGAAAATATTGGATTGAGGGTAATCAGTTATAATCAGATATGGTATTCCCAGACTTAACATGTTGCTGCAAGGTATGTGCACATTAATGTAAGGAATAAAACCAATCTCAGTTTGTTTGGCAAGGGTTTTGGTTATGTTCATACGTTAAAATTACTTATTTTTGTGGACCTGTGGAGATCCGGGGTAGAGTAGGTCTTCAGCAACCCATGCTTGCTGTAAAAGACGACTATGCTTGTCGTAAGAGGCGACTAACGGGATCAGGTGGTCAGGCTTGCTGATTTGGTGGGTGATGCATGTCATCGGATCCAAATTGTGTACATTGATGCTCATGATGTTAATCACTGGATTATCTGGCCGAGACTCAATTATTTACCGACCCTGTGGGGCGGTCGGGTAGCCTTATGGTTAAAGCGTTCGCTCGTCACGCTGAAGATGTTCGATTTGATTCTGACTTGGGTACAATGCGTGAAGCCCATTTCTAGTGTCCTCCACTGAGATATTGCTGGAATATTGCTAAAAGCGTAAAACCTTACTCATTCACTCACTCACTCCAGACCACTGTCATGAATGCTGGAATATTGCCGAGTGCGTTGTTAAACAACAAACAAACAAACAAACAAACAAACTTACATTTGTGAGCACATTGGCCAGATTTGTTGCGCCAGGATGTTAAGCAAGAGAATGGTTGTTTCATGTCAAGGTAAATGTAGGCTTTGTGGCTGTGAAGTTGAAAGTGATTGTAACATGTATTTGCTTGTTTTGATCTTCCTGTGTACCAAAGATGTACATGCAGGTTCTTGCTATGGTAGGGTAGCGTTAAAGCATTTGCTCGTCCCACCGAAGACCCGGGTTCGATTCCTCATAATGTGAAGCCCATTTCTGGTGTCCTTATTCGTGATATTGCTGGAATATTGCTAAAAGCAGCAAAAAAACATACTCACTCATTCTTGCTATGGTACATACAAGTTTGCATATCTGACGTTTGATGGATGGTGTTTGCTTTACTTAGACACCATAGGCCGATATTCGTATCGTGGGGCAGAAGTGTGACATTACAATCGAGCAAGTTCTGGCACAAATTCTTGACGTGTATCTCAGTGACCCAGTAGGACCTAGGGTGGAATGTGTCCCCCCCAGCATCAGATTGTTGGTTGTAAGAGGTGACTTACTTTGGAACCCTTGTGGATTATGGGCTAGAATTGTTTCATAGCCTACGATGGTTGTAAGCTGTGACTTGGATCAGGTGGTCAGGACTCCGTGACTTGGTTGTTGGCATGGCAACATACCCCAACTTCGTGGATCGTTGCTCAGAACCTGCAATGATATTGCTAGAATATTGCTAAAAGCGTAAAACCTAACTCACTCACTCGCTGCTCAGCTGCATTGTCTCGTCCAGACTCAATTATGAACAGGGTACCATCGTAATAGCTGGAATATTACTGAGTGATGCGTTCGGTGCTATAGTTTTTATGAGATAATTGTGTTTGATAGGAGCCAAGTGTTTTTTCAGGATCCCTCTGTGATATTTGGGAGCACCTGAGGCAAAAACTATTTCAACTAAGTAAAGATTTGAAATGTAAAGAAAAGGTTTGTTTGTCACAGGGCATGAAGGTTTCAGTGGAACAACATGACAGCAAATATTTAACATGTGTCATCCATAGATAGTTGTATGGGGACATCGATGAGTGTAATTATTGCTTTCCGAGGATAGACAATATGAAAGAATAATCATGTAATGTTGCCATCTGGTTTGGTTTGCAAGGGAAAGAGGTGGGGACTGCTTCTGTACTTTGGGCTGTGAGAGTTTATTTTGCGTTGCAGATGTTTCCAGTAATTTTTGTTTTTGTTTGTTTGTTTGATGTTTAGTGCCACACTCAGCAATATTCCATGGCAGTCTGTAAATAATCAAGTCTGGATCAGAATCCAGTGATTGACATCATGAGCATCGATCTACGCATTTGGGATACAATGATATACAGCAATCCTCTTAGTTGCCTCTTACCACAAGCATAGTCGTGTGTCCAGTAATGATGCCTTAGGGATGTCATGGTACACCTGCCTCATGTACCAATGCATTTAAAGAGACGAGTTTGTGCTGGGTTTTTTCATGAACTTCCCCTTGTTCAGTGTGGCAGGCCAAAGCCGAAGGTTGCTCTATATATAGTTGGTGTTAACTTCACATGACTGGTTAGTTTAGACTCCTTATTGTTGTTATTATGCAATCAGATTTAGCTTTTTGTTTTGCAATAGGCTGTGAATAATACTCACCCGAGGGCCCCATTCCATTGTAACTACCATACTTGAACATAGACTTACGACAGTCGTAGTGACCCGTGAAGATCCGGGTAGATAATAAGTCTTCAGCAACCCATGCTTGCCATAAGAGGCAACTAATGGGATAGGTTGGTTAGGCTCGCTGACTTGGTTGATGCATATCATCGTATCCCAAATGCGTAGATCGATGCTCAGGATGTCCATCACTGGATTGTCTGGTCCAGACTCGATAATTTACAGACCGCCATCATATAGATGGAATATTGCTGAGTGCAGCGTTAAACAACACAAAAACAATCGTAGCACTATGATCTCTTTGTGGAACAGGGCAAGGCAGGTTATTGCATAAATTTGTAAATGTTACTTTTTAAAAAAAAAGATTCTACCAGCATGAATCAATACATAGGTAGCATATGGTGTATTGTATCTGCAGTTGACAATTTGCAATACATGACTACGTCGGTGACAGCAGGCCTGTTCTGGCATATGGAGCCAAGTGATAGGAAGCAACTATATAGGCATAGGAAGCGACTATATAGGGATAGGAAGCAACTATAAAGGGATAGGAAGCGGCTATATAGGGATGGGAAGCAACTATAAAGGGATAGGAAGCAACTATATAGGGATAGGAAGCGGCTATATAGGGATGGGAAGCAACTATATAGGGATAGGAAGCGGCTATATAGGGATAGGAAGCAACTATATAGGGATAGGAAGCAACTATATAGGGATAGGAAGCAGCTATATAGGGATAGGAAGCAGCTATATAGGGATAGGAAGCAACTATAAGGGATAGGAAGCAAATATATAGGGATAGGAAGCAACTATAAGGGATAGGAAGCAAATATATAGGGATAGGAAGCAACTATAAGGGATAGGAAGCAACTATATAGGGATAGGAAGCAACTATATAGGGATAGGAAGCAGCTATATAGGGATAGGAAGCAACTATAAGGGATAGGAAGCAACTATATAGGGATAGGAAGCAACTATATAGGGATAGGAAGCAAATATATAGGGATAGGAAGCAACTATATAGGGATAGGAAGCAACTATAGGGATAGGAAGCAACTATATAGGGATAGGAAGCAACTATAAGGGATAGGAAGCAACTATATAGGGATAGGAAGCAACTATATAGGGATAGGAAGCAGCTATAAGGGATAGGCGGTATACTGGTTGTAGTGTTACGATAATACTTATAATGGTAACCTGAAGATAAAGTTGGGATGGATGTGCCAAGACCAAATAGCATCAGCCACAATGTACCCTGATGGTCACCGCCTGTGCCAAAAACCTTTGAGATTACTTGCCCAAATTTTGGCTCTCAGCATCATTTTCAGTATTTATTGTATTTGCTAATACTAGCTGAGCTTGCTGGACCAAACAGAATTTTACTAGACTCAGGTTTCAGACTCGCACACTGTAGTCCCTGGTTCGACTTGTCTAGACACAAGGACACTTGCAGGCTTGTCAGATTGGTGTAACAGTTCCTCCGATTAACGGGGTACATTGCCCCTGAAATAAGACATATTGAAGAAATATGGTTTGTCAGTTACCTCATACCTGAAATGTCTACAGAAATATGACAGTAATGTTGCTGATTTGGGTATAACCCCTGTCCTCTTTTGATTCACCCTGAATTTACGATGTGTGGCATACCATATTTCCCCTGTTTGACACCGGAGCTTCATGACACGCTGGATCATATGCTGTCAAAACTCGCAAGCCAAGCATCTGTAAGACCATGGGTCTCTTTTACTGTGATATGTTGGTGATTAAAAATGACTTTTTCTTGCAAATGTATCATCTGTATGACTGAGAAATTGAAATTGAAATTGCCACAGTGCTAGGCCTCTAATAAATGCCAGTCTGTCAGAAGAAATATGGTATTTTCCTGCATTAATTAATAATATGACTATTTGTGTTATGCCAGTGAACATGACTACCGTATGTGGATTGTGATGGGCTATTTATGGTATATGATTGTCTTTTCAGCATTAGTATGAAATCAGTGGAGAGTGTGACAGCCTCCATGAACGATGGCATGACAGAGAGCGGACTGGTCACCTCACAGAACGACTTTGAGGAAATCATCGACCTGTCGGTTACCAATAGCAACAAGAACATCCAGCTGAACTGCGGGCAGGAGTCTAGGGGAGACAACTCTGAGGATCTTCTCAACTTTAACAACCTGGATGGTGCCAGTGAGGACAACACCAACAGAACACCTTTAATTGCTTTTGAAGAAAACTCAGCAGCCAGACAAGATGTCACAGGTAGACAGACAGAATAGGAAGAGTGTAGATAATTCCGTCAGTGAGTTCTGCCAAAGAAAGCTGGAGGGTGGAATGTTATATAATGATTGCTTGTTGTTTAATAGTATACTGCTCTTAGCAATTATCCAGATCCATAATGGTAGCCTGTAGTAAATCGAGTCTAGACCAGACAATCCAGTGATTAATGTGATGACCAATAATCCTTGCTATCGGAATACAATGACACGCAATTAACCAAGTCTACAAGCCCTGACCATCCATTTAGTCACCCAGCATATGACCAGGATAGGGTTCTGGGAATCAATTCTAACCCAATTTATGGATCTGTTGATTCAAATACTACAACAAAACTTAGGATCCTAGAATTTCTAAAACTGATTTCCTGTGCTATTTTCAGATCTCCTCTCATGATCCCAAGGAGGCTGAAGGCGTTTCATCTCAGAAGGAGGCTGCCGAACAGACTCCCAGCCAATCACATTTAGCGACTGAGCCTGGGTCTCAGCCTCCTGCTACACAGCTGTCCTCTGCCAGCACCAATCTGACCTTCATAGGCTCCGACTCTGTGCTGCCTCCGCCAGCTGGGGACAGTCATATGCTTACTATTAACATGGCTGACGATTGCCACTTGGACAAGTTATGGCAGCAAACAGAACAACTTCTGATGCAGAAACAGGGTAACGTGCGGCAAATACTAGAGGATTATGGGATAGGCGAGGGAGAGGATGGGGAGAGCGATGAAGCCCAACTTTGGCAAACCGTGGAAAACGGAACCGGTTGTAAAAACGACCTGGTATAGATAAGGCATACAGTGTAGCGACAATCTAACTTATTGAATATATACAGAGGCGTTATCTGCAACATAGCTGTATTGTATGGATGTCCAGGGTATATCACACTCCTATCTACACACTTCCTAACCAAAGTTCTATTGGTGCTTTGCCAGCTCACTCGACCAAGCCAGTTGTCATAATTCAAGGCTGATAATTGACTTTGAGTTGTGTTTGAATTCATTCCAAATTTTGATTTCGGAACCACAGGCTCAAATGAAGCATTATCATCATCAGGAAGATCGATGATCTGGTGCTATATTATTCCAAAGTACTTTTTTTCTATAATATTCCTACAAACATTATACCTCCAGGTTTATGAATTCGTACAAGTACTGTGATATTTTAATTGTCCAAATTTAGGGTAAATTCCTTTGAAGTACAGTTAGAACTGGTTGCTACATTGTATGTATCTATCAGATTTGTTATATGTAAATAATTCATGATGTACAAATGTAGATATGAATCTCCAACTGATGCAGTCAGATTGTGTGTAAACTATCCCGGACGAATACGAGTCTGTGTATATGTGACAAAAACAACTGTACATATAGTCTCACCATGACTGAAATGCCACAAATTATAGTAGGATTACAAGTAAAAACATTGTCTTTCATTTACAAATTTGGTGTCAGATTTGATTTCAAGATTATAGAAATTTGTGTCTAGTTTTTACCTATGAGGTACACAGTACTTAATTCTGTTAAATTTTGGAAATACTTAAAATGAGTATTTATAATTTGGAAATACTTATGAGTATGTTAGAAATATACTTAATTGGGGAGGATTATTAAACGTGATTGTTCTTGCTGAAGCTGTGTTGATTGCTCAACAAGGAAGTATAGTGCTTTCTATTATCTCAGCCTGATGCCCTGACCTCCACATCTGTGCAATATCGCATGTTAATCAATGATCTGTGGACGTATACACGTGTATACAAAGATCCTGTACATTCTGTATATATGGTAGGCCTAGGTTAGACTAGAATGCTTACGAAACTTATAAAAAGAATAAAAAGTATTGTAGAGCTTGTAGAGAAAACATGTATGTTCAATTTTGCTGCCATAACTTTTCCCCAATGTGGAGGAAGACACGACGACTTGAGTGTCATTTTCTTCAAACACGTTTCATGGAAGTGCTTGTGTATCGACGCCAACAGACACAAAGACGAGGGAATCACATTCTGATGAAGAAAAGATGTTATCGAATGTTATTTGTGACAGGATGTGGCTCGGATGTGCATGCCGCTTGCCGCACTGTGATAAAACTGTCCAAAACAATTTCATAATGTATGGATTTCCATGTTGTGTGTATATCCGAGATTGCCCGTCGTTCGGTTGTAATACTTCGCTATCTCCCAATCAGTCGTGTTGTGCTCTAGTCGGGATCTTTGTTCTCCAAGTATTGTTTGTCTGTTACCAGACCAGGAGATGCTGATCCAGGCAAAAGGGGCGTTACAGCATATCAGGGGGGGCAGTTTGTGAACGCTGTAACTGTACTGTAGCAATTCTTGCTAACTGCCAACTTGTCTTGATTAAATACTTGTTTTCTTATCCGATTTGTGTGTTTCATCATTATCAATTCGATGATGGGTTTCTTTATTCTGCCATTTGCTTTCACACATGCTATAGGGTATTCAGTTTGATGCTTGTTTGGGGCTGAAGTTCAGCCAAATGTGGCCCCAAACCTGGATTCTACCTGAAAATAGTACCCTGTGCTGTGGATTATTTTTTCCATTATAGACATTCCTGTTAGTGAACTAGTTGCAGTTTTATAAAATATATACGTTTGTAGAAAATCAAAATTGCTTTTGGGAAACAGCTCCATGTGTTGGAAATCATACTTGCCATTAGGAAACATGTTCTAAGGTAGTAAAACTGAAACAACATGCATTTTAATGTTTTTCTAGGAACACATTATTTAAGACATTTTAAATCAAAATTTTCACATCTCTGCTTTAGTGATCTTGTCAGAGGAATTAGACTCAGGGAGACAGAATAGAATTGTTGATTATTTGCTGTAAAGTCACTTTTGTTTTGGGTCAGATGATGACCTGGGGGATTCTGGTGTTTTGATCCCAAACAAACTCCACCATGTTTTGTAAGAAGTGGTCATTTTTTTCAGTTAGAGGTGACATGTAAATCGGTTATCGAAATGTGCATGCATTTATGTAAATAACACTTTTAATGTTATTTTAAAAAGAAAAAGTCATTAATTATTTGCTATTTGTACAGAATGAGCTGCAGGTTAGAATTGCAAAGTAAAATCTTTGTGATATACCCACACAGCCTGCAAGTATTGATAAGTTAACGTATGTTGCAGCCATTGCACTGGATGTTGTTTATGTGCTTATTTCACCATGGTCCATTGTTGAAATTGATTCCAAAAGGTGAGTCTTTTCAATGAATAATATTGTTAAACTATGATATGTATTACAGTTGGTGCCCATTGCAGTCAGGCTTGTTAAGACTAAGACTGTGTTGATAGAGCGCAAAAGTGCTTGATTTCAGTGCAAATGGGTTGACTTTGATAATTTATTTGGTTGTCAAATGTGATTGGTTAACTGATAGTCTAACATGATCAAATTGTGTTTAAATGCATGTAATAAATATGTATTGTAGAATAACTCAGTGGTGTATTGGTCTCCTGCTTGCATATCAGTCCTGAGACCATATTTAGATATCAAGCATAATTCATGTATTACTGTATCTGAAATACCCCATACATTTCAGTCAACATTTGTAATGCTCTAACATATTTCTCATTCGGTGTAACTAAATGAATGTGAAGTAATTAGCTAAGCTGGTAAAACCTCAAGAGGTTATATAATCAATCATACAACAAAATACTCAGAAACTAACAAGTGTGTATTTGATCTTTATTAGCATATCTATAAAATCAACGATATCATAGGATAGATTAATATATTTCCAGAAAGTCTATTTAGTTTATTTAGAGATAAGTTTTAGGTTTTAAAGATTAGGGTAACTTTATATATTTTTGTCACCAGAGAAATTGTTTATATTAGATATTCTTTCAAACACTATTTTTATCCTTATTTCATATTTGAACGACCTAAATTCCAATTTATCAAATTCTGTCAAGGAGATTATTTTGAATAGTGCTTGCCTCTTAATGAAACACCTTGACCTTTGACACTAGGGATGGATGAATGCAACTTGCTGTTTCTACTTTTGTACATCTATGAACCTCTTCAGTTGTTTCAGCGTGTGAGTTGGTAAATGGGTTTTGTAAGAAACTGCAGGCTATTTACTTTTCGCAGTCATTCTTTTCGCTCGTGTAAATAGCCGAGGGAGTCAGTTCTGTAAGCATGTCAGCCATATTAACTTTTCCTCAAGCAGTTGGCTTATTAGGGTATATTATAGCAAAATCACTCAAAAACTCCCTAATGATTTATCCATAACAAATTATTGTTGTAAAAGTAATTTCCCATTGTTTTGATACTAAAAACAATGAAAGTAATCTTGATATTTATTCATTTGAATTGACATATGTATATATCAAAGCCTCCTGTTTGTAGGTATAAGAATGTATTTAATGGTTCAAGTCAGTATGAGATCCAGTTTTGTAGGTTGTTGGTTAACTTGATAATCTGAGTGTGAAATGCTTACTCTGAAATTTCTGGCAATGTGAGTTGTATTATGGATGTGATGACACAACCTCTGAGTGCGTGGGTGTCAGTACTTGGTATCCTTACCATGCTCCAATATTGTGTTGTCGTAAATGATAATTGTATAGGCTACCATGGAAAGCACTTTATTTATTTCTCAATCTGGAGTCAACATCTTGAACTGTACTAAACCATGCTTGCCGGTCTGAAGATTTTACTGCAATAAACCTGTCGTAAATTATGAATTCATGTTTTGTTTTTTGTTTTTTAAGTCTGCATAGATTTTCTTGAATAGAGGTAATCATGAAGAATGATTGAATTTGTGCTATAACATTTGTTCAAAAAAATGTTTTAGAAAATTATTTGTATTTTTCATATATAAATCAGATTTTAGCACTCATTCAGCATGTAGGAATACAAGAATATGTTTGGTGTAACAATAATTGAGACTAGCATCAATTAAAGATTTGTGATATTAGTTCCTTGTTGATCATGTTGATCAGGCGCTTGTAATGGCGCCGTCTCCATTGCCATACTGTCTTAGCTGAAATATATAGTCTTAAGAGTTACCTGACTTTGTCATTGAATTCTCAACGTTAATGACTATCATAGGATCTAAAGACAATTGAATTTTTTGTTTTGTCACCACGAGCACAACTGGGAATTGTCACATTTATAATAAGATCTTGGATGATGCCTCCGAGTTCTGTTTGGGGTTGAGTGTTTTCGCCAGAGGCAAATTTACAGTTTGGGGGCACACAATATATTCAGGAAGCATTCATAAAATCACCAGGCTCCCAATCTTTGAACTGTCGTTACAACATAAACTTTGCCAAGGCGGACCAGAGTAGTTCGGTTTCATTTTAATGCATGTTGGAGTCCAAACGAAAGTCACACCCACAAATATGTTTCTTTATGAAATGGCTGTAATTTCTCATGGGAAAAGAAATTATTTAGATAACTTGAGTTTGGTTAAAGGATTCTGCCGACCCTTATAAAATAACATTTTCTTTCTTCTTTCTGTCCACTGCACGCTTATGTGTTCATCACAAAAATGTTATGTATACAATCCGTTAGGGGCGGGCTATTTGATATTTGGGGTAATAAATGAGGGCTGAGATATAATAAAGCATTTTTAAATAGTAAAAGACCATACGTAAGGAGGTGTTAATTGACATTTATAGATGGTGCTTGGGATTAAGGGTCCTGTCTGGAGGGGGTTATGATCAGAGGGGATACGCTGAACGTTTGCTGTATACTTTTAAAACAAAAAGGAGATAGAATTTCCACTGACATCAAGCTGTATGAACTACTGACATAAAAACTGACAGACAAAAGAAACTTTACCACTTGAAAAACAAAATTGCAAACGGTTAAAAACAAATTTAAACTAAACACATCGTGCAAACACATCAATGATCTGTGCAGAAAGTAGACACGTCCACGGCACGACCAGCCGGAAATACACTTGCAAAAAGGGTATATAGATGATACGGACGCATGTCATACGCTCACACTCATTAATAAAACACACCATAGAAATGCCTCGACTGACACCCGAACAACGCCAGCAGGGTCTGTGTATGATATAGATGGAAGCCAACCATGCCCACGTTGCCAGAACGTTTGGTTGCTCCCGTGTTGCTGTTACTAACCTGATGCAACGTTATAGACATACCAAGGGTAACTACGCCCAATAATGACCGGTACTTGCGTACTTTGCATCTCGGGAATCGATTCCTGAGCGTGGCGTCATCAGGGAAGAATTTCTTAGGACATATTGTTAGTTGACAGACAATGTCCAGGCGACCCAGGCCTCAAAGAAGTAGGTCTTCCTCTACTCGTCAGAGATTGATATGAACCCTGACTGTCTTCACTGATGAAAGACGGTTCTGACTTTTCAGAGCTGATAGGAGAGTGTTTACCTCAAAAGTGAAGAACGAACGTCCTACCTTGGCCAGCATGTTCACCTGGTATTAATCCAACACTTATAGGATCACATGGGCAGGCAGATAATAGACCAACAACAGCAACCAGTCAACAGAATTCAGCTCGAACATACTTTTCTGGGGAAAGGCGGAGAATCCCGTTTGATGTCATCAGGCGTCTGAGGACATCAGTAAGAGGACGCGTGGAAGCGTTCCTTAATACAGGTTGTGGACACACACGTTATTTGTCACCCGGAAACAACACGAACAGGAACAATTTCAATTTTACAAGTTTATTTCCACGTCAGGGTAAAATAGTCTTTTTTTAACCCCGTGTTTGATCCCGACACATCCACTCGATTCATTGAGTCGTATCGATTTTTATTAATGTTATACTATCAGATGATGACCTAACTGATTACAGTCATGTGGACAACTATATTCGTCTTGGTTTCCTCTTACCGACATTCAAACTGACTGAGAAGTTTTATTATGCCCGTCAGGTTATTAACTCGCCAAGGTCCGCGAAATGCAGTGCCTTTTCCTGATACATATACTCAACAACAAAAGTTCCTGTGACACCAATATTTTAGTTAATTTTCCAACAAGTAAAGTTTCGTTTTCAATATTGTAGTTCATGTATGGAATCAAGTCACAAAAACGCAACTGCTACAGAAAAGCATGCATTCCATGCAAAATTTTACTTTTATGCAAGCCCCATACATTTAAGTACCCAAGAATGGGTATAAAAACATGTGCGTTAACGTGATTCCACATGCATTGTTTAGCATCGTGCTGACAACAACCACTCAGAAAAACAACAAAATTACGCAATTATTCAACATTACGAAATGCCACGCCTGTCAGAAAATGAGCGTCTGTGAGTCATTGGTATGCTTGAAGCAGGATCGTGTCAACGTGATGTTGCATGACAATTTAACGTCCCCAGAAACACCATTTGGTGTTTATTGCAACGTTGGCAACAGACGAATGCAGTCACAGACCATCCTCGGAGTGGCAGGCCACACGTAACCAATATTCAACAAGACAACTGGATTCGAACAACACACCTACGAAATCGATTCCAGCCAACAACAGTGACTGCAAGAAGCATCCCTGGCCTTCGAATATCTTCACAAACCGTACGTCGTCGCCTCATGTGTGCAGAGTTTGTCGCCAAAAGACCCACAAGACGTCCCATTTTGACAGGTAACCACCGACCAGTACGTCTACAGTGGTGCAGACAGCGTCTACGCTGGACGGCCATGCAGTGGGGACAAGTTCTATTCACTGACGAATCTCGTTTTCACCTCAGCTCGGATTCGAGTCTACCGACGTCGAGGTGAACGTTACGTCAATCATTGTGTCATGGAAGAAGATCGGTTCGGGGGCGGCTGTGTTATGGTTTGGGGTGGGATTACAGTAAGACAGAGGACGCGTTTGATAGCGGTAGAGGGAAATGTCAATGGACAGCGCCACCGCGACGAGATCATCGGCCCTGTTATTCTACCGTTTTTGCGTCGTCATGGCCCAGGCATTACCTTTCATCATGACAACGCCCGACCTAATTTTGCTCGACTTGTTCAGGATTCTCTTCAACAAAACAACGTGAATGTCATCTCCTGGCCGGCCCGCTCCCCTGATCTCTCACCAATCGAGCACGTGTGGCATGAGATGGATCGGCGCCTTCGACGTCAACCACGTGTTCCACAGACACTCCAGGAACTTCGAAACATGCTCCAGCAGATATGGACAGATATCCCACCCACAGGACGCCTGGTCCATTCCATGAGACGAAGATGTGTTGCTTGCATCGCAACCAGAGATGGACCACACGCTATTGATTTGTAAATTGACATTTTGGCATGTTCATGGTTTGGGTTTTTTTATGAAATCACGCATTTTCTGAAGTCAGTATGGCAAATTAAACCATTTGAACACTTTCAGAAGTCTTTTATCTGATGCAAACTGAGATTGTTTCAGATTTGGTAAAAAAACATAACTTTGCATTAAATCTTATTCAATGTCACAGGAACTTTGTTGTTCAGTATATTATTTGCCATCCCATTATGACCTGAAGGTCAGTTTGCCCCTGTACTAAGCGCCCTCGCTGTTTGTCTGATGGCAAAAAGTAGGACATTGTGCCCTTGTATGGAACGGCATGTCAAATTTGGGCAGCAAGTTATGTATTATTTATGTTTGTGGTGAAATGTGTACATGTAAAGAAGAAGTTAATATCTTGCTTGTAATAAATAGTGTTCGAAAATAAAAGATTCGAATCTGCCATCTTATGGCATGTACAATGAGAAATCCATTTTTCTCGGTCAATGCACACTGATCATGTTAGAATTCCCTAACCAGAGACAGCATTGCGGCGCCATATTGAAACACATATAATCTGGAAGACTCGCCATCATGTTCAAGGACACTCGCATTTTAATACACAGCTGGGTTTAAACCTTGATTATTCGAACAACAACATGACCTGCCTGTAACATACTGATAAGGGTAAACAGATAAGAATTTAACGTACAGACAGACAATGGCGGCCCAAAGGAAAATGTTGATCCTCGTCGTCTTGTGCATCGCTGTTCAAATATCACATCAGCTGATTGCGAAGGTGAGTTAAAAAAAACGTGTTAAAGGAAGAATAGCAAAATTAACACACCAACAACTCCTTTAGTCGTTGTAAACATCAGATAACTCGACCCAATCACATGGTACACGCCATTACGTTATAGTGTAGCTGACGTGTACAAAAAGTTGGAAAAACAAGAACAATCATTATGCAGCCCAAAGTCTCCAATGACTCTCCTTGCGTCCATTGTGAAGCTTAAGGTTAAGATTGGTGTTGGGTCAATAAGGTCATTCGTCTTATTGATAAGAATTTTCGACTAACGTGGAAATAATTTCCGCAACCGAGTCGACAGTGTAGAGCAGGACATGCTTACTCGTTTCGAGAACACCTGGCGTCATTACTGACTTTAATTAATCCATTCACAAAATTTCCACCGTTTTTTTTTACTTATACGCCCAATGGAATCTGTCTCGGTGGATGATCGACACTGGTTATTCTCAGGCGTTGATGTTTTATGTATAGTCAGGATATATTAGTAAGAGTTAGTGATCCATGAATGCAAATAATCAAATATGGCTGTGAAAACTGGTGCGGGGTTGCATAAGCAATGGACCTCTCCATCGGGATACGGTCAATAGGAGGAACATAGAAGGGACATAACTTATAACTGTCACTGGTGCGCTACGACCGAGCCACGAAATTCCAGCCTAGTTCGGCAAGGGTGGAATCTGGACTTGCATAGCCAGTTAACTCCCTTGCGTCGGGAAGATTGTGGCAACAGTCCTATCATGTTTTTTCCTATTTTGCAGCAAACCATCGATATGAAATGTGACCCAACGCTAAGTAAACGCATGGACGACTGTCCCACTGGTTACTGCTGCGTCCGTGACGAGTTTCTCCCCACCTACGTCTACTGCAAGAAGATGGGAGTCCACAACGAAGACTGCACGACAAGGTTGACCGAGTCCGCCTGTCCGTGCGTCAGTGGTCTGCATTGCCGTCCCAACATTGAGAGTGCCACCTTCCACTCACTGTATGGGAAATGTCACCCTAACACAACAGCACATGGCAGTATCACTGGGTGAAAAGATGTTAGAAATATAAAAATCGATATCGACTTCAATGATGTGCACTGAAAGTATTTGAAAAAAGTACAAATAAATGGTTACAAAGAGACTGAAATAACATTTTATGAAACGTATGTGTTGCGTTATAAGTAACTATTCTAGTTGAATAAGTTAACTAATGGACTACTTAAAGGAAACAGTTTTCACACAATCATGTCAATTGTTATGATTTTATGTATGTACACGTTCATTGAACTGCTATCCTTTCGCCCGTTGAGATCCGGGTTAGAATAGGACTTCAGCCATCCATGCTTGTCGTAAGAGGCGACCAACGGGTGGTCAGGCTCGCTGACTTGGTTGATACATGTCATCGTATCCCAAATGCATGGATCGATGCTCATGACATTAATTATTGGATTGTCTGGTCCAGACTCGATTATTTCCAGACCGCCGTCATATAGCTGGAATATTGCTGAGTGCGGCGTTAAACAACAAACAAACAAAGCTATCCTTTCGTTATGGTCCAAGTGGCCTGCAACTGATAACTTATATAGTGTCCCCGTGGTGATTCCGGGTTAGAATAAGTCCCCAGCAACCTGCATTGGTCCTACGATTGCATGTACCTTGATCGGGAAGTGAGACACGATGACTTGTTTGATTGCGTGTACAACGACGGCATGGGGTATGCTGATAATTTCAGTCACGGGTGTGTCTGGTCCGGACTAGTTGACATGCCGGTAACAGATCGCCTCATACAGTTGGAATATTTTTCTGAGCGCGGCGTTGAACAAAAAACATCAACTGTCTGTGAAAGGGGGCAACGGTTGTGCAGAATCTGATGGTCGGGGTTCGAATCCCTCTATGGTCTTTAATTTGCGAGCCAAATACCCGTGTGCAGTCAGCATCTGACAAAAATTGAAAGCTCGACAAACAACCTCATGCCGACATTGGATGGCAGCCAAATTATCAACAACTCCGTAGATAACCTCTGTGCCTCTACTAAAAATACATGCGGCTAGGGCACCTGTCAGAGTACACACCTGTTAGTGTAGGTTCAAATGGCGGCTTTTCATGCGAGGGTTTGATTCAGTGGCCTTTTACACCGTGGTCAGCAATGCATGCGGGTATATTGTGGAAGCCAAAATGAATTATATTCTGGACACACCTGTTAGTGTGGGTTTCAAATGGTTGGTTTTCTTGCGAGGGTTTGATTCAATGTCCTTTTACACCGTGGTCAGCAATGCATGCGGGTATATTGTGGAAGCCAAAATGAATTATATTCTGGACACACCTGTTAGTGTGGGTTTCAAATGGTTGGTTTTCTTGCGAGGGTTTGATTCAATGTCCTTTTACACCGTGGTCAGCAATGCATGCGGGTATATTGTGGAAGCCTAAAGGAATTATATTCTGGACATACCTGTTAGTGTGGGTTTCAAATGGTTGGTTTTCTTGCGAGGGTTTGATTCAATGTCCTTTTACACCGAGGTCAGCAATGCATGCGGGTATATTGTGGAAGCCAAAATGAATTATATTCTGGACACACCTGTTAGTGTGGGTTTCAAATGGTTGGTTTTCTTGCGAGGGTTTGATTCAATGTCCTTTTACACCGTGGTCAGCAATGCATGCGGGTATATTGTGGAAGCCTAAAGGAATTATATTCTGGACATACCTGTTAGTGTGGGTTTCAAATGGTTTGTTTTCTTGCGAGGGTTTGATTCAATGTCCTTTTACACCGAGGTCAGCAATGCATGCGGGTATATTGTGGAAGCCAAAAGGAATTTTATCCTGGACCAGACAAACTGGTGATTGACGGTATGGGCAACCACCGCGTTGTACGATGACACACAACATTGCAGGTCAAGTGGTGGTGGCTTATCCTAACGTTTATCCATGTGTATGGTTTAAACATTATTATATATTCCTAATTGATTGGTCAACAGACCGATGTCTATTTGAAGACTTCTCCGATACAAAACATATTAATATAATATATCACAACACAGTGGATGGTAAAAGGTTAAACATCAATTTTATATATACATGTACAAAAAATGTCTAATAAATTTTAAAGGCTTTCAAAGCATTTTGTTAAGGGTAAAATATGCATGGACAGATTCCATGCATTAGTGCTATGTTTGAGTGATATTTCCAAGCAACTTCATAACCTTGTATGTAAAAGAAACCATTTGATCTTATGGCCGTATATGTTTACATTGAAAAAGATAATGAAGATTTTTTCGAAATATTCACAACTACACTTAGGATCTATAGCAATAAAACGATCCAACTGACGTCCAGACCCGTGAAGATCCAGGGTAGAATAGATCTTCAGCAACCCATGCTTGCCGTAAAAGGCGACTATGCTTGTCGTAAAAGGCGACTAACGGGATCGGGTGGTCAGCCTCGCTGACTTGGTTGATGCATGTCATCGATCCCAATTGCGTAGATCGATGCTCATGATATTAATCACTGGATTGTCTGGTCCAGACTCGATTATTTACAGACCGGCGTCATATAGCTGTTCGAGAAAGTTTGCCAAACAAATAACTTAATATGCACAGAGACATTTTTTTATATTATTTATGCCATCACAGAAGCTGTGAGGAGGAACCCCGCTGCTGAGGACTCAAAAGCCACAAACAAGGTCATAGAGACCTGTGTGAAATAACGGCTTAGAGGAGGAATTGCACAAGGAATTGCGGTAACTTTTTTTACACATTCATTGGGGTGAGGTGGGGTGGAGTGTCACCAAATGTAATGAACAGCTCCCTAATGAAACTGTGCATGCTGACTTGGTTCATGCATGCCACCGATCCCATTTGCGTGGATCGATGCTTATGATATTAATGACTTGGTTGTCTGGTCAAGACTCGATTATTTACAGACCGGCGTCATATAGCTGGAATATTGCTGAGTGCGACATGCATCAAACCAAGTCAGCGAGCCTGACCACCCGATCCCGTTAGTCGCCTTTTACGACAAGCACGGGTTGCTGAAGATCTATTCTACCCCGGATCTTCCCGTGTCTCCTTCTCGGTAAAACCACTAATTGGCCTGGCGGGCCCGTGTCGGAAAGTCGGAAAGCGCACGTAAAAACATCAATTCTCTCTCTCTCTCTAGTTTATCCGATGTGATGAATCTTGTTTCGGTATTGAACTTTCAGACACAGCAACATGGCAATATTTGTCATATTTTTCCCGTCAATAAAACTCAATAAAATTATGGTCACTGTGGAACTGTCAGTGTTGTCGCTTTCCCGGAATACCGAATCATGGGTACTTCCAAATGTCCTTTTCAAGTTTGCGTTCAACACCGCGAAGATCCGCTTTGGAACTGGTCTTTAAACCTATGCTTTTCGTTAGAGACAATCTCATGAATCTCAGATCTTATTTCTCGCTTCCGCAAAACAAAGACCTGAGGTCATCACATTACAGGAGTCTGTAAATAATCGAATCTAGACAAGACAATCCAGTGATTGATATCAAAAGCATCGATGTACACTATCTAGATACGATCACATGCATCACCCGAGTCAGCGAGCCAGACCACAAATCCCGGACGTTGCCTCTTATGGCAAGCAAGGGTTGCTGAAGACCATTTCTAACCCAAATCTTCACGGGTTAGTAGAAAGAAAAATCAAAATAATAAAACAGTTTTTTAAGAAGATGCTCATTTTTTATCATAGTTAATACTTAACAAAACCTTGAAAACCAAGAAAATCAACATTAAGAAATATATATCTCACCTTACAATACAATCAAAATACTTACTGTACTTTATGTACCCTAATACATTAGTTATTAATAATCATAGACGTAGACACCTAGAAAGCAGAATAGAATAATGAACATAAATACATCATTTACAAGAAAACAGTTTTATCACTATGTCATAAATAAATTCTAGATTTTGAAATCAGGTTAGACAAAGTTCTTTCAGATAAGCATTTCATTTATTAGCCTCAATATTTTCGAGAAAACTAAAGTCTTCCGATCGAAGGCAGTATGTTCAAGAACATCAAGCATGGGTCATAAGTTTGGAGCTTTGTCTGGACAAATACCCCTGAGATAAGCATGCATAGTTTCATTAGGGAACTGTTCATTACTTCTGGTGACACCCCACCCCACCCCACCTCACCCCAATGAATGTGCAATTTCTTTACCGCCATTCCTTGTGCAATTCCTCCTCTAAGCCGTTATTTCACACAGGTCTCTTTGTCCTTCTGTGATGGCATAAATAATATAAAAAAATGTCTCTGTGCATATTAAGTTATTTGTCTGGCAAACTTTCTCAAACTGATTCATGTGATTACAAGTTGAGTCAAAACAACTTAGTTGTAACATAGTGGAACATAAGCATAATAATTATAAAGATGTCTTCTCAGAAATAATATTAGTCATTGCTATTTTTGACAAACTGTTTTCAGTCATAAAGGTGAAAAGGCTCATTTTCCCTTCTCCCCTTCAGTCCATATATATATAGAATTTGTGAAGCCCATTGCAGGTGTCCCCCGCCGTGATATTGCTAGAATATTGCTAAAAGCTCACTGAGTCGCAAAGGGTCATCATAGGTCATCAAACAGCGACAAGCTAGTGACAAGCTTAACAATTACTTTCGTTGGTACTTTTGAACTGGCATTGCTTCATTTGGCAATGGTTGCACAATAATAAATAAATGATAATACAGTGTATAAGCTTTACAGCTACAGGTTGTGAGTTTGTAGTGAGAAACCACCAGTGTATTTTGAGTCCCGTGATCAAAGTATTCTTTGTGGGTTAGAGTTGACAAAAAGGTTGGTGCTGGGCTATGTAGACATTTGTATGTGAGGCAGATCACTTTATATTGGATTCGGAATGCAACAGACAGCGAGTGCAGTACCATCAATACTGACGTAATGTGTAAGAATTTGGATACAATAAGAGCTGCAGTATCCTGTACCTTCTGAAGCTTTTGAAGTGAAGATTTATTGATTCCATACAGTAAACTATTGACAGAATCCTATCCAGAGAGTACCGAGGACTGAAAAAAGGATCTTGAGATGATGAGATGACGTATTTCCCAGTGCATCTTGGGTGGTAATAGCGGGACGTCATCAAAGTGTCAACGTGTGCATCATTTGAACTGTTTCAA